GGGTTGCTGCAACATCATAAATGCATGCTGGTTGCCAAGCACCCAAATTTTGATCACATGACTGTGAGAATGCTGCAAAGGTAATAAATGTGAGGACTGATCGTAAGCCACTTTTTTCGGTGCCATTGTAACTTCGAATGGCTGCTAAATGAATGGCTGTAAGTCGAGGATTGGTATTACCTATATGCTTTATTTGGTAGCAGCCTGTAGACCAGGGATGTCAAACTCAATTTCATTGAGAGCCGTATCAGGATTGTGTTTGATCTCAGCAGGCCGGGGGGAGGGAGCGTGGGGCACGACCATAGTGGGCGTGACACAGAACTCTTCTCAGGGGCACGTGTGGCGGCCTAGGTCTAAGGCAGAACTTCCCTGAGATCCTCCCTCATTAAAATCTCCTTCGTTTTCTTCTTTTTCCTTCCCTCTTCATTCTCTTTTCTTCTTCCTTCCTCTCTTTCCTTCTTTTTCCTTCCTTGCTCTCTTCCCATCTTCCCTTCTTTTTTCTTTGTCTTTCCTCTTTCCCTTCTCCTTTTCTGTCCCTTCTTGGATGCTCAAATGCAAAAGGGGAGACGTTTCTCCTTTTGTTTTGTTTTCGGTTTGTTTTGATAGTCCTCTGCCAGCAAAAATGTGCGGCCCACTCGAGCTCCATTTTCACTAGCGGCACCAGGGGCCGGTCCTTTGCTGTTTCCAGGCCAGCCTCACAGGCAAGATATAAGAGCCCCATGGGGCAGATCCCCAGGCCTTGAGTTTGACACCCCAGCTCTAGATAATCACTATTGTAAACAAGGAGCTATGCATGATTTGTTCTGAATCAACTGCATTTTATTTTTTATATTCTTGTACGGCACTCTAAATTCTACCCCATGCAGATTGTCCAAATTAAGCTACATCTTGGATGAGATTACATAGTTCTGTGTACATTATATGCTGACCTTTGATTTAAAGTAAATGGCAAGTGAGGGAAAGGTGAAAGGGAGCAATAGTCAGTGAGTCCTCTTCCCCTAGGGTCTGTCCTTGTAACCTAGAATTGATGCTAAATGTTAGACAGTAGCTGGCAAATGGAGCATGAAAGGCTGCCACTCTTATTATAGGGCCAGCCTTTGATTTCACATATCACGATTCAGTTCCATGGGATTTGGGTCATATGTAATGGAGATTGGCAAGTACCCCTGGCAGCTTTACCCAGAATGAAAAGAAGGAAGTGTGCTTGAACACTGCTTTTTGCTCTGATACTTTGCTGTCATCTACAACAATCTGCCAGTTGACATGGTTGCATCACCCTCCCCAATGCTATTGAAACAAATAGAAAGACAGGATGCACACTGATTGAATATGTAAAAAGTAGAACCATTACTAACCTTGTCCTCAAATCACTCCCTCCTCCTTAGGCCTACATTTAGCTGCATGGCAGAAAGATTCTAACATCATCAAGTGTTTGGAGCAGCATAGAACAGAACAAAGAATATGCTAGCATATTCTAAGGGTTTGGGATCACATACTTTGTTTCTGAATAGACTTCTCCATGTAGCGAAGTCCATCCACAAACAGACCAACCTATATGTATATAAGGTTGACAGCCTTCCATCCCTCCAAAGTGGGTAAAATGTGGATCCAAATTATTGGGAGCAATATGCTGACACTGTAAATGGCTGAGGGAGAACTGTAAATAAGTCTATTTACAGTATATAAGTCTAAGTACTATTGCTACACAGCAAGAGTGGATCAAGGACCAGCATATTTGACAATCTAAGATAGTCTCGCCTAAGAGAAATGCTCATAGAACTATGAGATATAAAAATTAAAGACTACTAAATTGGTGGCCATCTATTTCCAGCTAAAAACCTCCAATGGGCAATGACAGGAGACCATCATTATTCAAGGTAGGCTGTTTCACTGCTTTAACAGCTTTAATCATTAGGAAATTCTTCCTAATACTCAGTCTGAACTCTTTAATTTCGGTCTGTTGGTCTCTTATTTTATTCTCAGTTTCAACAAAGAATTGGGCAATTTCTACCTGGATGTAAATGTCTTTCAAATATTTATAGACTGCTACCGTATCTTCCTTTAGTTTTCTTTTTTACAAGCTAGTATTTTGTAAAATTGTGGTAGCACAAAACAAATCAAATATAACTTTTAATATAGGGTCTCTTCATATAATTTGGAAAAATTCTTTCCAACCTCCAATATTTCATATGTGCTTAACATCACAACCTTCCAGAGTCACTACAGGAAAGACAAATGTCATCAAGCAGCCTGGTGTTGGCAGTCCTCAATTTTCTACAGCAAGGGTCCCTAAAAGTTTTGTGCTATTTGGAACACTTGTCCATTCACAAAATGGCTGCAATAGAAGAATATAACCAGTTATAAAGCACTGATTTACAAGCATGTTACTTACCATCACTCTCTACCCACATCAGGCAAAATGCTCCCACCTATGCCTGATTTTATTTTTTGTATACAAGGAGATATATCTCTAAGTAATGAATTACATTCAACCCTTAGAAAAGCTAGAGATATTTTTGAAATTAACATGATACTGATGTTGGATAAGAATACTTTGCTTTGTAGTATGCCAACTTTCCCTTTTTTTAAACAAAAATCTTACTTTAAAAATTATATGTAATTTAATGTAAGTTATTGGAGCTGTGAATGGATGCCAAGAAAGATGTATTCCGAAACTAAAGTTCATAATGGCCAGCTTTTATTATTCAAACATGTTGAACTACAACTGCTCAACCTTCTTGACTAATAGGCTCACATATGGAATCCATTTTTGTTCTGCATCCCCTGGAAACTTGAATGGATTTATTGTTCACAAAAGCTTGCATGTCAGATATGTCCCTTCTTCCATGACAGTCACAAAACAATAAACAACAAAATATCTTTCAAATATCCAATATTTGTGCCACCTCTAACTGAGAAACATTCGACTTTTTCAGGGTGCTTATACTGACAGGAGACAAGTTACCTTTGGCAGTGAAGTACTTAATTCATGCCCATTTCTAACTTGCAGAAAGTTAACTCCCAACTTCCAGATTCTTATCTATGACTTATCTATATATATTGTCCAGATTGTGCTAACCTATGGCATGTTTTAATAATGATGACATAGTGCCCTAGTTCACATAATTTCTGGATAAATAAATCACATTTTGATTTGTTAGTTACTAAAGTTTATATGAATCCAGTAACTGGATTCACATAATACGCTAGACTAGGCCAATATGATGTTGGATAATTGGTATTTCAGCATGTTTTGGGAACCCAATCATTATCTTAGTGTATTACATGAAATAGACCATCCACAATGATCCAGCATAGTTAATTTGGGCACTACATGTTGTACACATTTGTATTGCATTAACCTGGGTTTAAGGATTAACATAATTAGTACACCCGGTCTTGTATAAATCTTACCATAATAAAACTGAATCATGATTTACAAATTACAGTCACTCAGTTCATCACACTGAGCTGAAATCAAACAAACCTTATTATGGCCTCCTGCTTTGTATAAACCTGAGCAATCTCACCTTAGATTCCATCAAAAGTTATATCCCTGCATGTACTATTTTTGGATGGGAGTCCATTTTTCTCTCAATTCAATTGCCTTTTCCTGTGTAAAAGCAAAAGCCCACCCATCTCTGATTTACCTTGGCAAAATGGGTCTTACAGTGTCAAATGAAATCCAGTTCGATCTGGGAAATTATGCCTGGTATGCCTTTTATTCTTCCAATTTGTTTGGCTTGGGGTGGGATGTAGCTAATCGAAGAGTCCACGGGGGAAGGAGAGGGGGGAAACAGATTACAATGGTGCATGTTCCTTGATTTGTGTCAGTGACTTAATCCCACCACTACACAGAGAGGGGGGGAGGGAGAGGGAGAAGGAGAGAGAGGTGGATAGCTCCAACACAGTAGATGAAATGTGAGAAACTGAGATTTCACATCAAATGTGTTATTCTTATTACCAGCAGCCTGCTGCAAACTGGTCCATTTATATACCTTCTCTACTTCACTGTTTCATAAAAGCCATGCAAAAAAAAATAGATGAAGAATTGTGTTTGTCTTCCCATTCTCCTTTGTAAAATCAAGTCTCTTCAGCATCTCTAAGTCTGATGGATTGTCAAACAAGAAAATGCTGTTTGAAGTCACCATCCCTTCCCTGCTTCTCCTATTCCTGGTTTTTGCACATAAAACAGAGAGGTGGGGGGGGGACATTGTTGAGATCCATAATGGCACTTTCAGTCATGACATTAGTACATTTTTTCTAAAATCACCTTTGTTGATATATAACCTACAAAGGCAATTCACTAATTCAGTTCTTAACTCAAGTGAAAGGCTAATCCCATCAAAAGTATCCCTGTTCCATTACCTCTAGGATAGAAGAGTTTTACATTTTCTCTTCAAAATTTAAATGTACAAACAAAACCCAATATAAACACTCTCCTAACAAGCTTTAATGAATTAAGGGGACATTTGTTTTAAGTGTTGAAAAATCAAGGCCTTACAAGAATAGGCATCAGTGAGGAGCAGGTGAAAAGGTCCTCTTTGCCTAGGAGATGTAGGCCTTTCCAAAATTAAGAAGTAAACCTATAACTTGGAGCTATTTCAGATAGAAGATGGAGATTTACACATCTGAAAGATCCTCCCTGCAAAAATCTCCCTTGCACAAACTTCCCCATCTAGAGAAGTGCACCAGAGAGAATCTGTGGTTTTAAAATGTCTTCTGGATAGGCTAGTTCCTTTCATACAGAGAACTGTACTTAATGAATGAACAGCAATCCTATATGAAAAAGGAATCTTCCCAATTTTCTTTATTTAGAGATCTTGAATAGGTTTACTGTAGTTAGAAAATAAGTTTTTAGTCCCAATTGCTATTTTGTGAAAACTAGGCCCCAGAGCAGATCATTGGATCTTTCATGTTGATAATAACAACCATGTCCAAGGACCACCAGACTTCCCAGAATCCAGATGTCACAATAAATACTAGATTCAAAGGCCTACCTGTATTGGGGCTGTGCTGAAGTGGATCTTGCGATTAGGGGCAGCTTCATCCTCTTCTGACAGCCCAGGGATCTCGACACAGCTAGATTCCGGTGCATACAGTCCATCACCATCCTCGTCTTCATCCAGCCCACTCCCTCCCGAATCCTCCCCCAGTCCACTGTAGGCACTAATGTCCACCAGGTCAGCCTCAGAGAAGTCCTCCTTCTTAGACTCATCACCCAGGTCATTCTCCTCTGGTCCCTCAGCCTTGGCCACTTCCTCACAGTAAGTGTCTGCCAATGGGCCTGGAGTTTCTAGGTATCTTTCACCCCCCAGCTGGCCATTTTCCAAGGCCGCATGCACTGTGACCTCAGCCTGAATCACCTCTGCCCTGAGAGGGTCAGAACCCTTAGAGGCCTTGCTGTTCTCATCTGCCACTGCTGCTGCCGCCACTGCCACCTCAGCTGCCTCAAACTCCTGTTCAGAGTCTCCACTCTCTTCCACTTCCACAGGCTTGATCTTGCGCACTTCTTGGACCTTCTGAGGACGTAGCCCCATGTTAGAGTCTTTATCTCCTGGCTTTGCTGCTACTGAACCCCCGGGCACCAGCTTGTTTTGGGCTTTGTCAGTCTCGGGCAACCTTGCTCTCACTTGGGGCGCAGCCCCATCACTATTCCTGTTTTCCACCTTGGCACTTCCTTCTGGAGCCTGGAGGAAAACCCTGGACCTTTTGCTAACAATTTTGGAGTTGAGGGGCCCAACTTTGCCAGGGGCTTTATGGAGGTTATTCCTCAGGTCAGCTTTCTCAAAGACAGCACTGAGTTGGCTTACAGTGGGAGACACAGCCTCTGTGTCTAGCTTGTCCAGGGATTCTGTGCTGCCGTTGAACCTCACCACCACATCCAACTTCCGGTCTTGGAAGCCAGCTCTCTCTTTCCTCAGAAGCAGTTTGTTGGTGGTCTCCTTCTCCTGGAGACTTCTCTCGAAGATCTTCCGTGTCTCCTGGAGCTTGGACAATGGCTTATCTGTTTTGGAGTCAAACCGGCTCACCCTCTCGGATACGCTGGTGCCCAGTTTCAGCAATGCACTATGGTCTACATTCTCGTTCAGGCTGCTGGCCCGGGGCAAGGACAACCGGACCGGCTTCTCCTTCATCTTGGCCAGATCAACTGCTCCCTCCCCTGGTGGCGGCGCAGTGCCCATTTGCAGGAACATATTTTTGATCCGATGGACATTGGACCCATATTTCTTGTTCCTGGCTTTCTTGGCCTCCTCACTGTCAGCTTGGCCCAAGGCATCCTTGGAGGCTTTCAGAGCTTGGATGCCAGCTTCGTAGGCATTCCGGTGAGGCGAGGCACTCCTCAGGCTGCCTCCAGCCCCATTGCCACCGGTGGTGCTGCTGCCCCCACTGCTGCTGCTGCCGCTGCCGCCAGGAGTATTATGGGACTCAGTCTTCATCATGGTTCACCAAATCTTCTGGTGTCGCTGACACCACATAGCCTCAGGCTTCCTCCTCCCCCCCGGGCCACGCTGCCTCCTCTTCCTCCTTCACCTCCAGCAGCCGCAATAGAATCACATCGCGAGAACCCGAAAGGGGCAAGGCAGCACGGCACGCCGCTTCTCCTCTACCAGGCGGCGCTCATTGTGTGTCAAGGAAAAAAATGTGGTCAACCGGCGGCGGGGGCGGCGAGGAGAACCGAATCCAAGGAGCTTCTGACACACGGCGGTGGCAGCGGGAAGGCAGGTCCTCCGAAGGGTCTGGATTAGCTGAGGCCCATTGCAGCCGGCTCGTCGGATGTGTTACACCTCCCCTTCATCCCCCTCCCTCCTCCGCCTCCTCCTCCTCTTCCTCTCCCTCCTTGTCGCTTTCGCTCGCTCGCTTTTTGCAGCGCGATGACGGAGACCAAACCCTTCTGCAAACGCCACAGCCTGTCGCTCCTTAAAAAAAAAAAGTGGAGGGTGGGGGGAGAGCAGAAGGGGGAAATGAAGAGAAAGAGGAGGAAAAAAAAACCCCTCTGGGTCTTAAAGTGATCACACTCCTTGCACCTCCCTCGTTTTCTGCTATGGCAGGAAAGGAAGCCAAAAAAAAAAAAAAAAAGGGCAGCGACGCGTTCTTCCTCTCTTTTTCTCCGCCCCCCCAACCCCCCGTTGCTTTCTCTTTACCGAATAAGCGAAAATGAGTCCATCAATCCAATTGTTAAGAGGAAGGAAGAGACGCGGTGGGGAGGGAACCTCGGCTAACGCCAGCTTTTGGATTTACCTCGCCGATGAATAATTAAAAAATAATAATAATCATGACAATGTAATCCAATCCTTTCCGCGTGTCGTCTGTTTCACGCCTTACTGGCGTTGTGGGGGGGGGGAGCGGTTTAAGCCCTCGTGTCTACGCACACATATGCACCCACCTCACGTGTCCTTGCTCCAAAATTGGATTAGCCATGGACGCCTCTTCCCAGACATTGGCCCACCCTGATATTTTCCAGCTCTTTGGGGGCAGTGTTGTCTCCGAATCGCGGGTGGTGACACTGATGCTGTTGGGGGATTCACCTCCATTTTAAGGCTGAGTTGTCTTATTGAATCTGTAGAAAGGGGACACTATCTAACCCTTCCACAGGGAGTGTCTAACCCTTGGCCCATGGGGCTCATGCAGCCTTGGACAGCTAATAATGTGGCCCCACGAGATCAGAAATTTATTATGATGTGATTTGCATATGTTAACTATGTTCTATATTTGGCATAAGACAATTCCTCTTCACCCAATGTGGCCTACGGAAGCCAAAGGGTTGAACACCCAAAAGGTCCACAAAGATTGTTTATATTCATACAGTCCTTTTAATCTGGATAGACATGAATAATCCATTTGCTGGATCCCACAATACACTTAAGTTGTGCAAAGCAGCTGCCAACATGTTAACTGAACATAGCCAAAACCTCTGCCCAACACAATGAATTTATTTGGGCCTATGAAAAAAAGAAGTACATAAATAACCACTACTATTTTCTAGTAAAATCTTTTTTGACTCTTATAAAGGCATTGCAACCATGTCTGTGTATTTTACTAGCATCTTTTGTCTTGGCCAAATGTAATTGTTTATGCTCTCTTTACACTATTACAAAGTGTGCTTGGATAAATAACCAATTTTGTTGTATTTAAGTACAATGACAATAAAGATTATACTTAAATACAGAGCATTTAAGTATTGTAAGTGAGCTTACAAATGGAATATATGGGGAGTGGGGGTGGAGTGGAAAGTGTTTTATGACTATGCTTATAGGAAAAAAAAAATCCAGTCAGTATATTTAACTCCAATGAGAAGGTTCTAAGTTTATAAAACAGGAAAGGCCTGAACATTGATGCTACTGCTGAATATGGGCACACAGAATGAATATCACCTACCTCAACAATACTTTCTGCATTGAGAACTCCAGAAAATAAATTACAAATCTTTTCCTGATGTCATTGTTAGTCTGTATGCATAAACTAGCATTTGCTCAATTCCTTCATTTGATAAAAGAAAATGTACAGTAGGATGGTCTGATAATCCTTAGCAGTTATTCAAAATATTATTGTTAATGAAGCTATAAATTAGAATTTTCCATATTAAAATATGAAGCAAAAGCATTCAGTACAATTTCCTGTGCTTTCAGGAATAATTATGATTGATAGTGAAATGAACATGTTCTGAATTAGGAATAAAAACAGAATGAGGCCAAGAGATTATCTAGGTTCCAACCTGTCAAGAGTGGGAAGTTGGCAATGGGATTCCTAAAAGTTTTTTTTTTCAACTAGAGGTGCTGATTTTGTCATAGGTAGTGCATAACTGACATGATGCATCCACCCTTGTACTGATTTAACCTTAATGTAAAGTGGGGTAGGGTGAGGCATATGTAAGTGAGTGCTTAGAACAATACATTTAGCCAGCTGTCAAGTGTTTGACCTACAAGACTGATATGGAGAAGTGAATATGATGAAGCAGGCTGTGTACCCCAAGTGAACCTGTTTAGTTCAAACTCACATCTTAATGTGTGACCTACTAGTCAGGCTAACCATGAATCTAGTACACTTCTGAAAGAGTGCTAAATTCATGTAAAAATAGTGTAAGAGGTAGCACAAAAAATGGAGCCCCAAATGAAGCAGGAGGCAATGATAATGAACAAGCTCTGTTCTCAACTAGTGTTGCTGGCAGTGAGTTCAATTCTGACTTCATTGCTAGCAGCATGGTGGGGGGGGGGGACATCATTAGATGGCTATGTGGCACACAGAATAGTGGCTGACCTGCACGTAGTAATTACAAGATTATAAGTATAAGTATAATCTTTATTGTCATTGTACTTAAATACAGCGAAATTAGTTATCACTATAGCCTCTATTCCTGCCAAAAACCATGTAGATAAAGCAAAATCTATCCCCAAAATAATAAAAACAGTATAGTTGTGTACAATTTCTCTCTGGCAAAAACAGTGGAAAGCTGAAACTGATCCAACAGTAACAAAATGAACAAAACAACACAAAATATGGCTCCTTTTTTTTTTAGTTTTAATCAATTTATATATGTTGGGACTAACTTGCTTGAAAAAGACCACTAAACCTATATTTATAAGAGCCAATTCAGAACTTGCAAACTATTAGAAAAGTGCTAGATAAGCATTGTCCATTCTCTTTTATAATCCAAGACTACCTGTCATGGAAGGGATTTCCTAGAAATTAGATGGGAAGGGGCATATCTGAAGCAGAATGTATCTTTGTCAGAACATATCTATGGCAAAAACTATATTGGGAAAATAGGAAAATTCTGTTTTAAATCTGGAGCAACTGAACATGACTCTAACTGAAGAGATGCCAGTGTAACTGGTAGTGAGTATAAAATGAAGATAATATTATGATGATATGGCATTAAAAACAGTTACCAAGATACCATGTATTTGCCATAGTCAGGGGAAAATGAGGAAGAGCCCAAACCTATGAGAAAAATGTAGTATTATCTATAAACTTCTGAACAGCACCTTAATTGCTTTCTAACATTTTGATTATTGATTCATTAATTAATTCATAGAGTCGTTCATTAATTTTCATCAACAAACCTGTAAAATGGCAACAAAGAGGACTGCTGCTGGCCTATCATCAATTTTTGTGATGAAGTGATACCATCGATGAAGTTCTTTTATTTTACTCCTAAAGGCTACAACCACATGACCATTCTAAAATTATTCATTTCCTAGCACAGAGACCGCAAAGCAGAATGATCACAAGGATGTTCATATGGCAATAGGTATTTACAAAATAAACCTTAGCAAACAAACATGGATAATGTCCTTTTTTAATGTAGTATTTTTTTATTAACAGTGTATTTAAGTTTTTTTGTGGCTATACATTTTCCAATTACATTGAAGCATACATAGTATGTTTTGGAAGAGCTACTACCAATATTCTTTTGATTTCCTTAGTATATGTAGCAGAGTTTTTCAATCTCAGGAACTTTATGATATGTGGACTTCAATTGACAGAATTCCCAAACCAAGAAATTCTGAGAATTGAAGTTAACACATCTGAAACTTGCCAAATTTGAAAAGCACTGTTCACTGCCATGATATTTTTTTTATTGCGAATTTAGGCTGGAGACATGGTGCTCATTTTTGGCTTGTTATAAGTATAGCTGGATTACATCTACTTTTACACTTTCCTGGGAATATTACTAATATTACAGAAATTACATATAAGATCTAAATTAGTCCTCGTAACCATTTAGAAGAATCCACAGCTTCTTTTTTTCAGCTGAAATGTGTCATCGGTGAACAATGATACAAAATGAGGAAAAGACAGCCTTTGAACTAATGCAGTGTAAGTAAAATTGCCTTACATGGATACAGATTTCTAGTAGTTTAGCAATGGCTTCTTTCAGGATAGCTTTTCAACTCCCTAATCTAACCTGTAGTCCTGATCTTTCCAAACAGATTCCCATCTGAATGGTAACCTGAACCAGCTCTGTTTAGTTCCCTAGGTTATCTGATTGGCCATATGCTAGGTTTTGCACCCTTTCCACTTCATTGCCCTTTCGCATATTATTCAGTAGCGAATTTAGTTTGCCAATTTCCTAACACTGCATCCATAAGACGGCCTTTTGCTTAGTGTGATAAATGAACTTTCCCATAATGGCTAAACATTCTATTTGAGCTAAGCCATTATAAGTTGTAAAAAAAAAAAAGTTAACATTGTGAACTTAATATGAACCCAACCTTATTGGACTTGCTGTACCTCCATTACAAATACATTAACAAATGCATATTGGTTGCACTGACAAAGTGCTTGGTTTCCTCAAAAGTTTTCATGTTATGCTCTTTCTGGGAGTTCCTGCCTAACCACAAATGTTTCATATCTGTCAGTCCTCCTATAGATCACACCCATTTATCATCATGCATGTGGAGAATGAAATCCATAGATAGACATAAGTAACTGGCCACATCAGGGGAACATCCTAGTTGCAAAAGAGGCTGCTTTAGAAGGGGAGGAGGGAAGGCATTAATGCATTACTCTCAGGGATCACATGTAGGTTAAGCTTCTTGGTTAGGCACACCCTCTTCACAAGCTGAATACCATGTGCTTTGTTGCCACTCTGCTTGACACATGGCTATGGCCTTTGGGTCTCTGTTGAGACAAGCAAGTAAAGAAAATACTTACTGAGGCTCAAAGAAGGACCGAACATCAAGAAGATATTTTGAGCCTTAGCTCATCCAAGGTCATATCCTGTTCTTGAGCCTAGGTTTGGGAGGAAAGGAAGGGTAAAGAGAGAGAGACAGGGAAGGAAGATGAAAAGGGGGAGCACCAGGACCCTGAGGAGCAGGAGGCAGACTTCCTTTTTA